GTTATGTGCATTTTACCTCAATTTTAATTTTAAAAACGTATGGCAGGAAAAAAAGGCAGGTTGAAGACAATATACTCCATTTGCATTTTAAAATTATACAGATAGATACACATGTGGTAGTACATGCATACACATACAGAGTCCTCACCTCCCACTGTACTGTGGGACTGTAAAAATGACCATGCAAGCTGAAATCATGCAAAGAGAACTTAATTAATGGGAAAAATTATGATCGTTCTGTGACCTTTCAAAGTTGTTGTTGAAGCATTAAAAACTCTTGATGGTCTGTTACACACGTAGAGACAAATGAAAAAGTAGTAAAACTAGTAATAAATTTAATACTTATTAAATTACTAGTGTAATTTAAATTAAAAACATTGGAATTCAAGAGTTTTCTTTCTTTATCAAAATGTATCAAGGACGATCCAGCAATCCCACTTCTGGGTATACATCCAAAGGAAGCGAAAACCCTGTCTCAAAAGATACCTATACTCCCATGTTCATTGCAGCATTATCATGAGAGTTAACATTTGGAAACAACCTAAGGGTCTGTTGATGGATAGATGGATAAAGAAAGTGTGGTATTTATGTATATACAATGGAGTATTATTCAGTCTTTAAAAAGAAGGAAATCCTGCCATTTGTGATGACATGGATGAAACTGGAATACATTATGCTAAATGAAATAAGCCAGAAAGACAAAAGACAAATACTGCATGGTATCAGAAACAGAGCGTAGAATAATGGTTGCCAGGTGCTTGGGGATGGGGGAAAATAGGGAGGGGTTGATAAAAGGGTATGAACTTTCAGTTATAAGATGAATGAGTCTGAGGATCTAACGTATAGCCTGGTGACCGTAGTAGATAAATTTGCTGAGAAATTTGCTGAGAGAGTAGATCTTCTCCCTAAAAAAAGGGTAACTATGTGAGGTAATGGATGTATCACTTAACTTGATTGTGGGAATCATTTCACAATGTATACACATATCAAATCATCACATTGTACACTTTAAATATATTACAGTTTTATCTGTCAATTATGCCTCAATAAATCTGGGGAAAATTATCAAGAGTAGTTTGAACAGTGCTTGCCTTCTTCCTGTAGTGTAACTTGAGATACAGAACGAGCATCTTTTCTATGCATTGGTGAGGCATCATACTCCTTTCTAAGTTTAGATCAACTTAAAACATTTTATCCTTTGTACTTTCAATGTCATGAAATATATCTGGCAGTTCCTTTAATGTGATGTTTTTGCTGGCATCACTTCCTTGAGACAACTTCATCCTTTTTGTCAGAACCACTCCCATTCATATGTCGATAGGTGTACCTTCACTAAGTTTCCCTGGCTGCATACCTAGAGTTTCTGGAATAGCAAATAGCTGTGATGTCAACATTCCCAGAGCCAGCTATTTTTTAAATCACTCCATTTATCTTCAGTTCACATTGCACTTTCAGTGTTATCACTCTGCATTTCTGTGCTGCACTTTCATGTGTGTTGGCCAATTCCCTCTTTTGCTGATACATTTTTGTAAAATGTCACATGGGTTTATCACAGGGAGATGGGAGGCAACACAAGGACGTGCTTTGCTGTCTGTGTAGGAACCGAATAACACGCATGGTGACCAATCAACGACAGGCTTTGAAAGAAGTGATGTAATTGGTCACTGGCCATTATGCATCTGTCATTTCCACAGCGATTTGTGGATGGAAGAGCTAGCAGCAAAGTCCATGTTTAATGCAATTACTCACAGTGAACATAACATGGCAACTGAAATTTGAACAGTGTTATTGAGGGACTGGTGTTATTTAACTAAACCGTGGTATCTGAAACTCATACAAAGCAAGTACTGCCTGATTATATACTGTATATGTTTGTGTATGAATTATTAACAGTGGCTCTCCCTGGGATTGGCTTGGGGGGGTCTTATAAACTTCCATGCAGTTTTTTTTTTTTTTTTTTTAATGAGGCTGTGAAGTTCTGGAATCAGACTGTGGACTGAAGTCATTTACTAGCTGTGTGACTTTTGGAAAATTACTAACCCTTTCTGAGAATCATTTTTGAAGTGAGAATAATGATAGTTCCTGCCCCATGGGTTGCAGTGAGAAGTCAATGAGATAACATGTGAAAACCACTTAGCCTGGTGCTGGGCAAGGAGTCAGTGTTCCACAAATGTCATCATTGTTATTGTTATTACTAAAATTTAGTCTGAGAAGTGCTGCAATGCAGGCAGCTCTCCGGAGGCCAATCCTGCCTGGAGAAGGGAGCAGAGATGCACCAGGTGCCCTTTAGGACACCTTCCTGTGCAGCCTCCCAGGCATCTAAGGTCACAGGTTTCCTTGCTGCCAGGCGAGGGGCTGGCACCCAGCCGTCAGTGCCCCGCCTAACACACGCCTCCATCAATCCGGGCAGCTATTGGCCACCTTCTCAGCCAGAAGGCACCACGACTAGTGAACAGCAGGTGGGTGACCCCTCGGAACACGCCTCAGCGACCAATACTCTGGCAGCTGATGTCAGCTACACCTCCAGCTGGGTACAGCCTGCGTTGAGACTGGATAAAGTCCAAAGCCTCCCTAGCCTGGCCTTTGGAGCTGGCCTGAATCCAGACTCTGCAGCTTCCATGTTCTCTCCTCTTCCAGACATACGAATCCTTTGCTCTTGAATAGACGTTGCCCATCTTCGCTCAAGCTGTGCCCTGCCTGACATGCCCTTTAATCTGATTCCCCCTGGCAGGGCTGAGCCCCAGCTCCGCCTCCTCTCTGAAGCCTTCTGAGTCAGCCTGGGCCTTCCTCTGAACTCAGAGGACCTACTATGCACCTGCCCCCCTGTGCTAAACTCTCATCTTCACAGCAGCCTATAGGAAGGCATCATCGTCCCTATTTTGTTCAAGAGGAGAATGAACAAAGCTTACTCAGCTGAGAGAGGCTGAGCCGGGATTCAAACCCTGGTTCGTCTATTTCCAAAGTCTAAACTCTTCCCCCCCAAATCCTTCTTTCAGGAGGTGGGTGCTGCTGCCTCTATCAGCTCAGGAGCCCATCAGTTCCTGGGGATAGGAGCCACGCCTACAGGAGCACATCAGTCCCTGGGGACAGGAGCCACGTCTTTTCCAGCTTCCACCGTGCATGGCAGCTTGCAAGGACAGGCAAGGTGATTTTGTCTTTGCAGCCTAGCCCTACATCACCTAAGCCAATTCTGTGCAGTAAGGATATTTGGTTTTATTTATTTATTAAAAAAATTTTTTTTTCGGGTTTCCCTGGTGGCACAGTGGTTGAGAGTCCGCCTGCCAATGCAGGGGACATGGGTTTGTGCCCCGGTCCAGGAAGATCCCACATGCTGCGGAGCGGCTAAGCCCGTGAGCCATGGCTGCTGAGCCTGCATGTCCGGAGCCTGTGCTCCGCAACAGGAGAGGCCACAACAGTGAGAGGCCCGCGTACTGCCAAAAAAAACACCAAAAAACAAACAAAAAAAAAAACAAAAAAAAATTTTTTTTCAATTTTTCAGCCACGCTTGCATTATGTAGGATCTTAGTTCCCTGACCAGGGACTGAATCTGCGCCCCCTGCAGTGGAAGGGTGGAGTCTTAACCACTGGATGGGCAGGGAAGTCCCAAGGATATTTGGTTTTAGTGTTTCTCAATAGTGGCACACTTGGTATTTGGGCTGAGTCAGTTATTTACCGGGCAGATTTATACAGTGCCTAGAAGGATGTTTAGCACACCTGGGCTCAAAATGTCAGAAGCCCCCTCCCTCTCCAGTTACTGAGAAAACACAAACCATGGCACCTCTGGAGAAGAGGCCTGGGAGGGGGTACCATGCCCAGGCAAGACCAGTCTGTTACACGAAAAACCACAGAAGATGAAAGCTTGGATTTGGAACTTGGACTTGGATAAAATGGTCCCAGCTCCACTCCACTAGCTATAGGATCTTAGTCGTGCCATACCAGGGCCAGCTTCCTCATCTGTGCAGTGGGGACAATAATAATGCAATCACCCCCAGAAAGCATGTAGCACAGGTCCTAGCCTACTTAACCTGTCAATGACAATAAGCTAGTAACATTTAAACCTATAAGACTTTCCATAAGGGCTTCCCTGGTGGTGCAGTGGTTAAGAATCTGCCTGCCAATGCAGGGGACATGGGTTCGAGCCCTGTTCAGGGAAGATCCCATATGCCACGGAGCACCTAAGCTTGTGTGCCACAACTACTGAGCCTGTACTCTAGTGCCCAAGAGCCACAACTACTGAGCCCGCGTGCCACAACTACTGAGCCTGCGTGCCACAACTACTGAAGCCCACGCATCTAGAGCCCGTGCTCCACAACAAAAGAAGCCACGGCAATAAGAAGCCCGCGCACCACAAGGAAGAGTAGCTCCTGCTCGCCGCAACTAGAGAAAGCCCGCGCGCAGCAATGGAGACCCGATACAGCCAAAAATAAATAAATTTACTTTTTAAAAAAAGGAATGCAAGAAACAAAAGAAGCAAAACTAAAAAAAAAAAGACTTTCCATAAAAATTAGTTAACCAAAGAGGACAACAAAATCTCTTGCAGATAATGAATCCTGATTTTTCTGTTAGTTTGTTTTGGATCTAAAAACACAGAGTCCCTGCAAGACGAGTGTTTGGTGAAAACTTGTCAAGTTAACGGTTCTGCCCCAAGGGAGGTGACAGCCTATCTGGGGAGCCCCAACAAGTACACTGACTTAGACACAGTTCCCCTTGGCTTTGGAATTGGCAAAAGAGAGAGAAATGGCTTCTGGTGCCCAGACTGGTTCCGGGCCAGAGGGGTTGGCGGGTGGGGATCCCAAGTTAGATACACAGTAGGAAAGCCACTCCTTTTTCCTCCTGGCACAGGATCCAGATCCAGAATCGGAATCTCACTCTTTAGGGCAGTTTTACACATGCAAGAAAAAACAATATATGTATATATATTTAGTGCCTGGCAGGAAGATTAGAGAGCGTGATATCAGTTTTACAGATGGAGAAACTCTCAGAGTGGGGAAATGACTTACCCAAAGTGAAAGTCTTAGAAAAGCACAGAAGGACCCCAGCTGTGAATCCAAAGCTTGTATCACTGTCCAAGAATGAGGAAGTGAGATGAGGGTTTGGGAAATATTTCAGGGAGATGGCAGTGCCATCTGAGAGTGGCATGTGGCCCCAGGTCTGTTAGGGTAGGAGTGACGGTGATTCCTCGCTTGCTGCAGCTGGAGTGACTTTGGCCTGCTGGCTACAGAAGCGGGGGGGCATGCCCAGCTAGATGTCCCAGCACACAGGCAACCTGATAACCCCAGCGGGCACAGAGGGCCAGGGAGACAGGAGGGACATTCCTGTGTTGACACACCTTTGTTCACATGGGCAGAGTTTCTACATCAGCAAGTGGGCTGCCACTCTGGGGGCCGAATGAATGGGGGGAGGGGGCATCAGTGTGAAGGACTTCCTCACTGCTAACTCTCCTGCGTTCCTTTGTTGCCTCCATCTGGATTATGAAATTAGGGAGTCCTACCCTTTGGGGATGCAGAAGGTTAAGTGTGGCCTGGAGGGTGGGGAGCCACAGATGTTGCCATGAGGAGACATTCTCTAGGAGGAAAAGAGCAATTCAGGCAGAAGCCAGACTGATCATTTCTAACCTGCATAGTCTCTGATCATGTCAGTTATCTTCAGGCATGAGGGCGTCTCTGCTGCAGTCTCCAGCTTCATCATTTCTCCTCCCAGATATCTTATGTATCTTTCAGTCACAGATTAAAAGTTACCTCCTTTGAGAAGCCCTCTGTGACTCCACTGGGGCTGGACTAGGGGCTGGACTAGGTGCTACCTCCTCTGTGCTCCCAAGGCCTAAGCTTCTGCTCACCCACCACAGTGCTCATCACAGGTGCTAACTGCTGGGTTGTCTGTTGCCCTGAGCAGACTCCAAGGACAGGAGCTGTGTGTCTGTCCTGTTCTACATCAGCTCCACAGTCTCTGGCAGCTCAACTAGCCCATCTGATGCATCTCAGAGAATTAGTGCTGGGGCTTCCCTGGTGGCGCAGTGGTTGGGAGTCCGCCTGCCGATGCAGGGGACACGGGTTCGTGCCCCGGTCCGGGAAGACCCCACATGCCGCGGAGCGGCTGGGCCCGTGAGCCATGGCTGCTGAGCCTGCGCGTCCTGAGCCTGTGCTCCGCGATGGGAGAGGCCACAACAGTGAGAGGCCCGCATACCGCAAAAAAAAAAAAAAAAAAAAAAGAATTAGTGCTGATGACCCCAGGAGGCTGAGGGAGAGACCAAGGAGCTCAACAACCTCTCCAGAAGTGGGGGAATGAAGACTTCTGGGGACCCCCTTTGGGCAACTTTCTTAACTGCTCTGTCCTTCACCTACTGACCTGTAAAATGGAGCTAGTCTGCCTGTAAAGCACAAAGTAGGACACGAGGGAGCACTCAATGTCAGTGGCTGTGGTTAATTCTACAGGAGGGGGCGTGGAGGCTCACGGAAGTACACGCCAGGTCCAGAGTCTCAAGGCTGGAGAGGGTTCTGGCCTCCAATGTGTGCCTCTCTTCATTTTGCACTGCTGGTTGTCTCCTGTCGGTTCTACTTGCTCAGTCCATAAACAGCCAATAAATAGCTGCTGGATGCCTGCTGGGTGCCAGGTCCCAAGCTGAGTGTTGCATGGTTGATAACAAAAAAGCTTCTCAGGAGGGAGTGGGATGAGGAAGAATGGTGGGCATTAGCATAAAATCCTCCCTGGCTGAAATTCCAGCTTTTCCACTTCCTGGCTATGAGATATTACTAAGGTCCCTAATCTCTGAGACTGTTTCCTCCTCTAATAATAGGGAAATACAAGACCTCCCAGCAGGAGAGCTGAAACCAGGCACTGGTCAGCTAGATAAATGGGAGGCAGTTATTATCCACAGCATCCCACTTTATTTTTAACCAACCTGTTCGCTTGGTAGTAAATTCTTCCCTATTGTCCGGGCACCCACGACCCCGGTTCTCCTCTCAGAGGCCATCACTGTTAACAACTCGTGCATCTCACCAGCCGTCTGGTGCACACACCGGTAGACACCCATGCCCCCACACGCGTTCTTTCACACAAACGGTAGCACCAATCAGCGCTGTTCCTTTCGCCCCTTCCCTTTTCCATCTACAGTATCTTGGAAGAGGTCCCATATTAGTGCATATTGAACATTTTTCTTTTTAGCGGCTGCATAGTATTCCATTGTATGGCTTCTCTTTTGGCGTGCTTGCCGTTACTATTATCTATCTGGGAACTCCGAGGACTCGGGATCCCATGAGCTGTCGAGCTGGAGTCAGGCACCCGGTTCCGGCCCTGGCTCTGCCCAGAATTCGCCCAATTGCCTTGGGCTCCCTCTCCCCACCGGTACCGGTACCGAACGATCGCGGGGGTGGGGGTGGGGCGGGGGATGGGGTTGCAGAGAGGACCAGCCTGGCGGGTCCCAGTGTCCGAGCGCGGGTCGGCGAGTAGCGCGCGCAACAGCTCTCGGCTGGGTCAACCTTTCAGCATAGCCACTCCGCTGTATCAGAAGCACCAAACGCAGCGAGTAGTCTGGCACAATCGACCTTGTAATCGGTTTCCAGGCCCTCCCGCTTCGGCACCTGACCCTGGGGCAGCAACGCTCAGGCACCAGCTACTCACCCCTGCCTCGGCCGCTTCACCCTTCGTCCCCAGGCGCCGAAGGTTACAGCCGTCCCTGTCCCTTTAAGGGGGCAGAGCCCGGGCTCCGCTACTTCCGCCCCAAAACAACATGGTGCCTGCAGGGAGAGGGTGCAGGCGTGAAGAGAGCTCCCCTCAAAAAGATGGCAACGCCCTGGTAGCCCCGTTCGCGCCCGAAGGTGACGTCACTTCCGGGGCGGAGGAGGCTGAGTGGTGCAGTGAGGGACAAACAAAAGGAGGCGCCGGAGGGGCGCAGCGGCTGGCGGCGGGACAGAGCGGCAGGGGCTCGGGGCTGCCGGCTGGGCGGCCGCGCGCGGCGGGCCCAGGTGAGTGGGTGGGGTGGGGAAGGGGGTGCGAGCTGTCACCTCTCGAAATCCACTCCTGTACGTCCCCGGCCAGCTGGCCGGCCCCGGGCACCCTGGGTAGCTTGGGCTCTGCCCGCCAGGGCCGGCTCCCTGGGGGCCTCCCGCGGCAGCTTAGTTCGGCCTACCTCTGGGTTCCCCATCCCCCGGGTCACCGGGGCCCCCCCGCCTCTCCCTGGTGCCGCGGCGCGCGAGCCCCCTCCCAGGCACCCCAGTGCCTCCCTGCGCTCTACATAACCGGGAGTTTCCGCCTCGGCTCCCCAGGTCCCCTTGTCATCTCCTGGGTTCCCCCAGGTCCTCACCCCTCCACACACACACGCCCCCCCTTACTAGAGGTTCCACCTCTGGGCTTTCTCCTTGGCAGCTTTTTTTTTCTGTTTTCAAAGGTTCCCCTTGCTCTCTTCTGGGTTCCTGGCCCCCTCCTCTTCCCTTACACCCCTCCCTCCTCTTGACTGGGCTGGAACTGTGCCCTGACTTGGGGGCAGATCCCTGGCTATGCTCGTGGTGCCTGTCTGGGCTGGGGTTGCTGGGAAGCCCAGTCCAGGGTCTGAGGCTCCGGACCCTGCCGGTGTCCTGTGCATCCAGATGGGCCTGAGAGCCAGGTCTGATGAGGTCTGGGCTGGAGACCCACCAAAGTTGGCTCCGCAGCTGAAGCAGCATAGCCGCTGGTTCTTGAGCTTCATGAGGTTCATGATGATTCTGCTTCTTTTGTTGACTCCTTCTTTCCCCTGGTCTGGACTGGACTGAACCAAGATTGGGCTGGTTCCTGGGTGATGCATGTGCTGCCTTTTTTGGAAAGGAGGAGAGATGGTTGGGGGGTGGCTGGCAACCTCCTCCTGGTGGGGACTTGGCTGGAAGGGTGGGGCCGCCCCTTGGTGACCATGCTCCTGGGAGGGCTCTTCTCCTGCCCCACCCCCGGAAGCCTTTTGAGGATGAGGTGTGAGGATGAGGAGGGAGAGAGCTTGGTGCGGGAAAGGGAATTTGGGCCTAAATTGTGGAGGAAGGATTTTGGGGAGCTGAAAGGCTCCCAGGGGCCTCTCCCACCTTTTCCATTAGGAGTACCTTTTACCCCTGACGAACTGTATCCTGCCCTTTGAGCAGACAGAGTGGCAGACAGACAGACTGGAGGCAGAAGGAGGAGGTCTGATGTTGGTGATCCCTCCTGTGGAGGGGATGGGGGAGTGAGAGCTTTGTTCAGAGGGACTGGGCAGTGCCCACGGCTCAGTCACACTGGCATTGCCTTCGTGAAGGTCAAGTTTTCCTCTGGCTCAGGAGGGGAGGCAAGGACAGATGACAGTGCTGGAGGACTGGCTTTTGGAGAGGTGCTGGGGCATGAATGACTGGCCCCTGCCTCCCTGTCTTAGAGTTTTAGAGATTCTTTGGGGTTAGCTCTAATGCCCCTCTGCCTTCTGGGGGCTGTGAGGCACAGCGCAGGAGCCCAAGAAATAGTTGTGACTTCCCCCTGGAACTCAACCAAATACTCCATCCCTTGGGCACACCTGCTAGGAAGCTGTTTCCTCTGCAAACTTTGAATGGCCTTTCTGGACAGTGGAAGCTCCTGAGGATTGCCCCAGTGGGTCAGAACTAAGGGAGCTGGCTTGGCCTGGACCTCGCCTGCAGGAGTTGGAGCGAAGCGATCGGCCTGGTTCCTGACTCTCTTGAGAGTGGAGGTGATTCTGGGTTTTCACAGGCTTTCACGGGGAGTCAGGTGGGTTGGGTGTGGGGCTCTGGAGCCCAGCACACCATCTCTCCATCCCTTGACTCATTCATTCATTCAACCATCCTTTGGTAAGTGCCTGGTCTGGGCCAGGAATAGTGCTACGAGAACACAGTCCCTGGTTACGGTCTGGGAGGAGAGGCAGACAGGAATACGTTGACACAGTGGCCAGCATAATACTAGAAATGTTACAGAGGCAGCCCAGAGGAAAGAGGCATTAGCTGTGGGTGAATGTGTAGGGGGTGGTCAGCGTGTGTTTCCTGGAAGAGGAAGGGTTAGAAGAATCAGTGCCAGTGAGTCCAGAGGCCTGAGTTCTGGGCCTGCCTCTGTCATGGGCAAGTGACTGGCTTTCCCAGCCTCAGTGGGTATCCCTCTCTTTGCCGAGGAGGGTAGGGGTTGGGGTAGAGGCTGACTCCCATGGCTTCTGTGCCTTTATAGACCCAGGTGCTTCACTGTCAAGCTGCCATCACTCTGTGTGGGATTGCCAGGTTATTGACTGTCTCCCTGTGAGGCTGGAGACTATCTCCTGCTTCTTTCCTCCTAGCACAGTGCCTAGCATTGAGTAGGTGTGATAAATGTTCAGTGTTGTAAACAGCTGAAAGGCTCCACGATCCCTTTGTCTGTGTAACCACGCCTCCCCGCCCCCCTTCCTGCTAACTCCTCCTTGTCCTTTGGCCTTCCTTGATGGCTGGGCCATACTCCCAGCGCCTGGCTGGCTTAAATACTCCGCCTACCCTGCTGTAGCCTGACCACACTTCTCTCCCCGCCCTCCTAACTTGTCTTGTTCCCTCCTGTGAACAGTTCTTTGCAGAATGCCTGGCATGTAGTAGACGCTCACTAAACACTTTGACTATAGATGATGGTTGGATTTTGTTTTGTTTTTTTTTCTTTTTTGCAGTACGCGGGCCTCTCACTGTTGTGGCCTCTCCCGTTGCGGAGCACAGGCTCCGGACGCGCAGGCTCAGTGGCTATGG